AAGGTCATCCCAGTCCCCAAACCCACAGACTTCTCCAGGCCTCTTCTGCCCAACCTCCCTGCCTCCTCCCCCGCCCTCCACTCTGCCTCCCGCTTCCCGGCCTCAACCTCTCGGCCACTCGGCTGGGCATCCATCCCAGAGGTCCAGCCTGGTCTTCCTCTCAGTCTGTGACTTCTCCCGGGTCATCGCCCCCAGGCCTGTGCCCTGATGACTTGCCACTCCCCACTCCAGCCCCAACTCCTTTCACTTGTCCCCTTGGTGTTTCTACCAGGATGTCTCTCAGGGACTGTGAACTCAACGGGCGCTTATCTGAACTCACCATCTTCCTCCGCACAACCCAGCCCCCCTCAGTGTTTCCTACTGAACGGCACGACACTCCACCCAGTGCCCAGGCCAGAAACTTAGATGGCATTTTGGATTCTTCTCTTATACCCAGTATCAAAAGTTTATTAACTCATTCATTCAACCAACATTTTCATGTGTGCCTTTGGGTTAGATGATGTCCATTTATCTGGTCATTTTCTTATACCTGGAGAGCAGGACAGATCCTTCCTTTGAGTCAGCGTGCTGCATTTTGTGGGGAAGGGAAATCCGAGCAGGTGGCTCCGATTTCAGAACAGAGGGGTGTGCTCCCTGGCTCAGAGATGAAAGCAACAAGGAGGGGGAGACAGAGAAGAGGGACATCACTACGGGTATCCAGCCCGGGCCTTCCATCAAGCCTTCCGCTAAGCTGTGGTTAAGGTGTAAATTCCCATTTCCAGAAAGCCTCAAGGATGAGTGGATTTGTTTGTTTATTTGTTCTTATTCATTGATCCCCACACTCATTTCTCCCAGCAGTTTCTCGTATATGCACGAAGTTGTGCAGCCATCAGCACTTTAACTCCAGAACACTTCCTCACCTCAAAAGAAACCCCAAGCCCAGTAGCAGTCATTCCTCATCCCACCCCCTCCCTAGCCCCAGTCATTCATTTCTAGGATAATCCTGACATGCTCAGTGGCAGACCATCATCAGAGAAGAAAACATGAAGAGAAACAAGATGGTAGAGAAGTGGTGGACATCAATTTCGTGCAGGATCTGTTAAAGCCTGGACAGCTAAATGATGAATAAAAGTCCTCACTCGCCTGGCTAACAATTTCCCCTCTCAGACACTAGAGCAAAGCTGAAATGGCTAACTCTGCCTGGAGATGTACTACTCCAGGCCCATCTGCCCAGGAAGGAGGGCCTCTCTGGGAGGGTCATCGTGCCCTGGCCGCCAGGGAGGAGAGGGCCCTTCGGATACAGACAGTCAGGCGCTCAGGCCCCGTAAAGGCAGAAGGAACGCCATGACATGGGAAATGGGCTCAAACTTCAAAAGCTACAGGACATGGAAGAACACACAGGATGCTGAGCTGAGAGACTGTGACTCAGAAATATGTGATTGCTGTTATCTCGTACCTGAATGGTTGTCACCTGAGAGCCAAGACTTGTGTAGGACACGAGGGGCATAAATGGGACTCATGGGTGAAAAAGTACAGGAAGATGGCAAAATTTCAGGTCATTACAGGGAAGGACTTCCTGGTAGTCATGCAATCCTCAGGCCAAATGGGCTCTCTGAAAGGTAGAGTGTTAAAATACAGTCCGGGCATCCAACAAGTGGGTGCTGTAGAGGTAACTCTGAAAAACAGACGGTGATGTGACAACTGTGACAGCCCCACACTTGATTGGTGATGTCAACTGTGGGGCGTGTTGCAAGTGATCTGCTACATCAATAAAACTGGAGTGCGTGATTTACTGTATTTAGATTGGGGGTGATCACTGTAACACTGCTCTTACTTACATTGTTAAGTACTTTCTGGAGAGAGAGTGAAAAACTCCACTTTCAAGGTAGCAGGCTGGGCAGTGCTCACAGGGATGTTCCACTCAAGTGTGTCTGTAGGGGGAGCGTTACCAGGCTAGATGACTGGTAGGATCCCTCCCAAAGCTGGGATTCCTCAAGGGTAGGGGCACCCCCCTTCGGCCGGCCAGCCTAATCAGGGTCTACTGGGGAGCAGGTGTCACTGTGTTCCTGCTGGATTTATCTGCGGACTGTACAGCCTCAGTCTTGTACCTATAGGAGACACCAGCTACAAGTCCTGGGTTCACATTGGAAATCTGTAGAAAGGGAGAGTGAGGGCTAATTAGCTACATCTGTCTGCATGTTTTATATTCAGAGAACAGTCGTTCAGAGGATTTCAATGGGAACAAATAAAAGTTTATATATAGAACCGTATCCTTGAAACCTATATAGTTTTATTAACCAATGTCATCCCAATAAATTCAATAAAAAAATAAATGAAATGGTTACAGATGATGTAAATATGGCCAGAAAACATTATTTGCTCTTTGAAACATTAAACATTTTTTCCTCTAAGGAAGAATCGACATGAACTGGTAACAGACCTTGAACTTAGCCAACCTCACCCCCATCCAAACTGGAACTTTCACTTTTCAGCTCCCTGGATAAATGGCCTTGGCAGAAACGGCTGTCACAAAGGCCAACGGTAGAAGTGCCACCATAAAAACACTTGACTGACCAACTCAGGCCTTTGCAGATTCTTCCCTGACTCCTTTTCCTTGTCCTTTTTCTGCTGCTCCGCCAAGTGACCAGATGTTAATTACCCCTCTGGAATGCAAGAACAACCGAGCAGATGGAAGGTATCTAGTCACCTGGTGCAGTGCGCTCCTCGGCAGCCCTGCGATTTCTGGCACCTCGTAATATTTTTTATTACAAAATTTTTTTCATTATAAAACTATTATTACCACATTATAAAAATTTGGGAACTAGAGAAAATAGAAAAATCACTTATGATCCCATCATCCCAATAAAATCACTGTTTGCATTTGGTGCACCGTCTACTTTTCTTCAGGGCTCTCTGGATACAGTTATATGGACCACATGTGTGCAGCCTATTTGTGCCCCACCTCCTCTGAAATGGATTTGCAGCAGCTTATATAAATACACTTCACCAGACAGACAACTCCATGCAGACACGCTCTCTCCAAAACCGGCCTGGCCTCCCGTCTCCCCGGTTTCTGACTTACAGGTCCATCCCCTCGCCTCCGGCTGAAGCCTTCGCCCCATCCTGAACTCCCCCGAGCTCCAACATCCACTCCCACTGACCCTCCTGTCGCTACCCCTCCTCACACCCCTCCTCCCCAGCCCCATCGGCACTGCCACCCTCTCTAGTCCAGGCCCTCATTACCCACCTACACCCCCAACAATTACAGTGTCTCTCCAACTTGCTTCTCTGCCTGTCCTTCCCCTCCATATCCTCCATCTTGTGTGGATAAAGTGTTTCCCTCATTTTCACTGCTCTCCCTAAACAACAGATTGAAAACAATGGATTTTGGACTGCGTGGCAAAGCACCTTCTTCGGTTACAAAAATGTACAACTTGTCCCCAGTCTACCTCTCTTGCCCTACCTGTTACCACTGCCCTACATGAAACCTCTGCAGGGGTCTGGCACACACGAAACTAGAGGCAGGACACATGCCAGCTCCCTGGTGCCCCTCCCTGCCAGGCGAGTACCACTGGGGCCAGCGGAGACGGGGAAGCAGGTAACAGACCCGTCCTTCTGCCGTGAACAACTACAGAAGTGGACGAAGTGAAGGAAGCAGCTGCTTTCAAGCGCTCCGCTACAAACAGCCGGGCTGGGAACCCGGGGAGAAGAGCAGCACAGGGAGTGCGGTCCCTGTCTCCGGCTCCCCGCCCAGGGGCACTTTTCACACTGGCTCCGGGGGTAGTGAGCTCAGACGCTGCGAGGCTGTGCTCGCAGCACACTGGCTCAGGGCATAAGAAGCCGACCCAGTACTTGCTTTTTTAGGTAGGCTGTTCAAGTTTTGGATTTTAAAAATACTTAATTCCTCAAAAATTTCCATGGGGACTTTCCTCTCTTTACGCTCTATCTTCCTTTCCATTTTCTTTAGTTGAAAATACTGGGCTAATTTGCCTGTAGTTTCAAGGACTCCTCCCATTTAAAAGAAGACAAAAGCACTTTTAGGCCATGATGCTTCCTGACTCCCTGGCTTCTCTCTACCAAACTTCACTGCCTATGACAGCAGAGAGGAGACCAGACGCTGAACCTACACAGTTCTGCATCAGTGGAGTACGTAAACACCTCTGCAATGGTTTAAAAAGACTAAGCTTCTTGGCCATCAACACTTCGCTGCATACTGGAACCACAGAGTGGATATCCAGCCTGGGCATGCCACCCAAGACCACGTTAGTACCAAAGCCATGCCCGGGAATGACTGAAGCCAAAGCAGTCACCCAGACACCGCCCTGAGAGGGGCGCATCTGGGGAAAAATTAGACTGGGGATTGATAGCATTTGTTCTTTTCACCCCTTCCGCACTTTCCTTTCCCCCTGCTACAGTTTTCAAAGGCTGCTGGCCTCGAATTCTGCCTTTTCCTGCTTAGCGCCACCCCGAAAGAATGTGGAAATAGCCCCTAAGAGCCGCCTTTTGCAATCTGCTGGGTAGATGAAGGCCTACGGGGAGCGGGGCAGCTCACTCGAGGAGCACTCCTCAGGGGAGGCGTTCCTAGCGCCCACTGCCCGCAGCCTCTGGAGTGGACCCTCAAGGCACCTGTCCGCTGTTAAATGCAGGTAAACAGCCCTGTGCTTCTGCCAAGCAGAGCCCTTCAGGGCTTTCTTCTAACACATCACACCCAAAAAGGAAATTCCTGAAGGGTCAAGGCCTGAAATCAGTTCTTCTGCCCTCTCTGCTGTCTGTTTTGAGGCCACAAAAGGACCCTGCCCTGCTGAAAGGACATTTCTTACTCTCATCGTCACCAAAGTCACCGCAGGAGCACAGGCCTCAGGTCACACACCTGCGCAGCCTCAGGGGCCTCTGGCAAGTTCAGGAGCAAGGCAAACCCCAGCTTATACATTACACTGCCCAGGGAGGACAAGGCAGCCAGGCCGACCACCGAGCTACGCACATGGTCTGCTACCCAGAACGGTACAGAAGTCTTAACCTACCGTCAGCGAGCGGCTTGCAGGAGAGGGCGTCATCAAGGTCGCGGGCAGTAGATGGGTCAATGGTGAAGATGCAGTCTTTTCTAGGAAAGATTAAAGAAATAATTAGTGATGCCACAAGTACCAGAAACTTTTATCTCACCACAGTAGAGCTTTAAAAAACAGTTATTTTGAAAATGTGCAAATGGTAGGCAAAGTGAAGGGTAACTCCTACAATGTCTCTCGGAGGAGGGGATCTTCAGTGAAATGCGAGGCTGGGGACAGACAACGGGGGAAGACAGCAAGGCTCCAGACTGTCTCTGAGTGTCCTTCTCCTTCTCTCTGCGAGCCTGCTTCTCCTTGACTCTGAACAGGAACGGGTGCGAGAAGGGGGAAGTGACACAGCAGCCATGAACGAGGCTTCCCAAGAAGCGCTGTCTGCCAAGAGAAGCACGTCTCTCTGGTCAATCACTCTCCAATGGTCAGTTCTTACTTTTGCTTCTCTCTCCCCCAGTGGTGGATGGAAACCTGTCCTCCTTTTCTGGTTTCACTTCAAGGAGCTGTATAAGGATAAATTACTGTTCCTTCTCCTTTCTCCCCAAAAAGAAGTGCGCTAAAAAACAAATCACCTAACTTGTTCTGACATGGGAGAAAGGACTCATGGATAAGTTTTGCAAAAAACGCTGGCCATATAGTTAGCTGTGATACAATTCTACTTGGAAATCACCCTAATCACAGTTTTTTGCATGTCACATCATCAAGTACACACTCTGTTTATCTTCACACACCGTCCCCACGCACATCTCCCTCCTGCTCTGTGAAGATGTGCCCATTCTCTTTTCGCTTTAGAGTTTCTCAAATAACATGCCCCACCCAACCCAGCAATTCCTAGCATGTCAATACCTAAAGATCAGGGCAGAGTCTGCCTTAGTTCTCCATCCCTTCTGTTCTTTCCTCCCCAGGCACTGGCCTGGAGATTGGGATGTTCAGCAGCTCACCAAAGGCTGTGTTCCAGTGCCAGGGACACAGCCTGCAACTCACAAGTGTTACAGAATGAATGAATGCATGCATGCTGACAGGAAGAGATGCTGAGGTGCAATTAATCCCGACACAACAGCAATGGGCTCTAAATTGCTGAGAATCTTGACTTTGATTCACAAGGCAAAGAAGAAACTGCTTCTTGCTTCTTTTTGTATTCCCCATAACAGCTAGCAGAACACTTTACATATACTGAGTACGCAGTAGCACTTGTTGAACGGGCACTGAAATGCGGACTTGGCGGCGGGAATGTTTTGGTCCTCCCCCTTTCACCATGATGACGTCGTAAGAAGCTGAAAAAAAGTCCCTCTAGTCAAAATAAAAAAGAACGCTCTTAGCTGGGGGTGCGAGGGCACAGTGCACTAGTTTACTTAGAGAGTTGAGTAGGAAGCTATGTTTTCTTACAATTAAATGTCTCTGGGTGATTTGAGATTTTTATTCCTATGAATGAATGATAATCCCACTAAAACTTTTCCAGCCTCAAATTGATCCAGCCATATGTAACAGAGTAAAACTATAAGCCTTCAAGTTTTAGTTTGTCCACATCTTCTTCGAGAGCACCCACAAATTGTTTGAGAATAATCTTAGGCTAACCTGTAAATACTCAAACCAATTCTTTTCTACTTAAAAAAGAATCTACTCTTAAACCAGAAACATAAAAGTCTAAATTAAAACAACTCTGAGGAACAGTCCTCAGGAAAGTTTGCTGGAGAAACATACCATCAAAACATTATTTTTGGTCAGGGGTCGGCAAACTATAGCTCACAGGCCAAATGGGGCCTGCCACCTGTTTTGAATGGCCTGCAAGCTAAGAATGGTTTTTGCATTTTTAAATGGTTGGGGGAAAAATTAAAAGAAGAATATTATTTCATGACATGTAAAAACTATATGAAATTCAAATTTCAGTTCCCATAAACAAAGCCCTCGTGAAGCATCGCCGCCCTTCCTCGGTACAATGGCAGAGCTGAACAGCTGCGACAGGACTGTCTGCCGCACCTCCGTCTGCCTGGCCCTCGGCAGAACGTTCGGCGACCCCTGTTCTAAATCAAAATCTCCCACTGTGCCAAGTGAGTATTCTAAATTTTTACAAAGGTCCTGTGATTAAATCAGTTTGGGAAATGCAGAGCCAATTTCTTCATTGCAGGACTTCTTTCTTTCTTTTTTTTTAATTGAAGTCATTGGAGTGACACTGGTTAATGAAATTATATAGGTTTTAGGGCTACAATTCTATAATGCATGATCTGACTGTCGTATTGTATGCTCACCACCCCAAGTCAAGCCCCCTGCCATCAGCATGCAGCAGGGCCTTCGATATGCTGGTGGTGCCCAGCTCTTGCCAGGCTCACTTGACCTGGGCACTTTTAATGGCGGAGAATCTCCCAGATGCAAGGCCCCTCAGGACAGGGCCCTCTGAGAAGTGATGAACTGTACAGAAACGCCCTGTGTAAGCCTCCAGTGGACTCCTTGTCCTACGTGGGACCTTGTCACCAAGCCTACCCTAAGGGACACTGCAAGAAGGCAACCCAATGGTTATGCCGTTCACTGCAGGAAAGCTGATGAGGGCCTCGCTCCCTGTTACATTGCCCAGTGCCTCCTCTACAAGGGAAGTTTATACTGTGCAAGGACTCCCTCTTCTAGTCTGGAGCTGGTGGTTTGCTTTTATCTTACACACATGTGATTTTTATCCTTTCAGATTTCCCTTTCTGCTTTGGCTGCCAGGAAACTCAGAAAAACATTTGTGATTTGCCTCTAAAAGACCTTATTTTTAGTTTGAACTTTGTGAACTAACTTTTATCCTGGCTGTGCCTAATTTTTCTACACATGTATTCCTTTTGCCCCATGTCCTAATTTTTAAAAATTCACCGCATTATGTGTGTAACTGCAAGCTGCCTTAAACCATTTCTTTTTTAAAGCAAGGTATAAATAAACACACATGTATGTTGATAGGATGCGGGAAGAGAAGGAGCCACTAGGCATGGGCTACTAAGGAAACCAACGTCCTGGCTGAGCAGAGCTCCCAGAGCTTCCGGCAAGTACTTGTTCTGCAGCAGTGGGCTCCAGCCTGTTCCCTCGCTATGGAAAACCGGGGGAGCAGGGGAACAGCGAGTGACCCTGACGAACTCCAGCCCTCAGTGCTGAGAACCAGTGACTTAAATCTGTTGTCATCGCCACATTACAGCTCGGCCACGATGTGGCGTGTGAGGGCTCCCCTGGTTATGGGCCAGAGCGGCCGGAGCTGCTGGCCTCAGCACCTGGGAGCCTGGCCCCCAGGCACCGCACTGCGCAGCTGTTCCACTCTGTTAACACTCTGCGGATTGTACTGGCTCCTTTGCTGGAAGGCTCTGGTCTCACAACCTGCAGGGAGCAGCCTGGCCTGCCAGCTTTTAGAACCTGTGAGACCAAATATTTAAAGAGTTCCGCAACAATGGTTAGAAAGAAGCTAACCCTGACCCACAGAAAGTAAAGTGCCAGGTCGGGGGGAGGCTCCAGTTCATGAGGCTGCAGAATCCAATTCAGAGCAACGTTATGTAACAGAAGTTTCTAAAGGCACGTGACCGAAGGGCTCAATACAAGATGTTAAAGTGACAGAAAGCCTTTAAGATTGTTTTATGCAAAGCCATTGGTTCAGGAAAAGTACATACGAAGAATAACTAGAAGCCTTCCATAATCCCTTAAGGGTCGGCCCAGAGCCCGGGGAATCACAAAAGCACAGAACAAGCTTCTGTTCCTCTGTCACTCACACACTCCCCTTTGACCTCATGCCCTCTTCCTCCTCAAGGTGCCAACACTGCCACTCCTTGCAGCTGAAACCACTGTCTGGTCTCCACAGCAACTTTTACTCACCACTTTGTCACTATCCACCTCACTGGATTTTGGCCATGGCTCGTACCACATCATAGAAATTGCTCTCCTCACGGCCACGACGCCGCCTGATTCACCACCTTAGAGCATGCATCTGGGTGAAAACCTTCATGAGCTCCGCACAGAGTAAGACAGAAATTCAGCTTAGAATGCAGAATCCTTCTGAGAAGGCCCCGACCTCTTATCTTCCCAGTGAGGCTGCACACGCCCAGCACGTGCCTCACATGCCAAGCTCTTCGCTGCGCCCTCTGGTCTCCGAGACTCGCTGAGCTGTCCCGAACACTGGGACGTGTCCCACCCGTCTCCCATGGCTAAGATCTACAGGGCTTGTAAAGGCCTGGCTGCAATGCCATCTTTTTTCTAGGGGGCCTTCATGGCTCCAGAGGGGAAGCCGCCCGTCCCTGCCCGCCCCGCCCACACCTGCGACCTGTCTCTCCCCCAGGGCCCCTGCCACTGCCCCGGCAGACCGGCGGTTCCTTCCAGAGCTGTCTTATTGTGGTGACAAGGCTAGAAACTCCTCTAGGTCTGGCCTGTCCCGGTATCTCTTCCGACACACTGAAGGCACGTGTGTAAAGAGTAGCGGAGGGAGAAGTGAATGAAAACATGATGAAAGGGCTCTCTAGCATTTTTCCACTCAATTTTGCTACCGTGTCTTGGGAAGTACATTTAGGATTAGAACTCATGACATATTGGCATCTAAACCTGTGGTCACACCACAGTGTTATTGTTTCCAAGGGTGTCCTTTTCTGTCTTTATCCCATCTTCTTTTCTCATAAAACAGAGTTTTACACACTGCAGCGCAGGGACCGTTTGTAGACTAACGAAATTTACGGAGGCCCTCCCCGGTCCGGGACTCTGAGTTTGCCTCCTTGCTGGCAAGCAGTCCTGGGGCGGGGGGGGTGGGGGGGCCTGGGTCAGTGGCACTTGGTGCGTGAGAAGGCATGGAAAAATTCAAGACATAACCTTAAGAAAATAAAGAATAACCTTTTTACTCAAACACTTTCTTAGATTAGATGGTATTGGAGTTTATAAAGAAACCAGAAATTTTTATGTAAACTGCAGCAGGAAAAACAGCAGAAGGGCTGGAGCACTCCATCCACGGTGACGCGGCCCTACGGAGCGCCACATGGAGGGCCGGCCAGGCGGATGCTGAGACGGGCCGGCCAGGCTGCACGTGGAAGCCGCCTGCACTTCCACCTCCCCT